AAAGGGGGGGAACACATCCCATTTACAATTCATATATAATAGGTCGCTCTATGAGTCGTCGTCTCCCACGAAATAAAACAAATAAATTGTTACAAAATCAGCGCTTATAAAGTAGAGCAGAGCTCTGAAACTAACAAACATAAATAACTTTCATAATTGGCAAGTCGTAAAAGCCATCTATTATCTGATTTTTGCCACTGAAACACCCCCTCCTGAAAAAGGGGTGTTTATTTGAAAGCAGAAGATAAGAGACTGACACAGCCCCGAAATAAACTGAAATACACGACAAACTAATCGCGTGCCTCGCGACTTTCAAGTTTCGACAAAAGAACTTTTTATTGACACCCCCCCTGGGTGGCACTGGTGTTCGTGGTGGGGATTTATAGTTTTTCCAAGTTTTCTAGTCGTTTTCGTGGTCGGGAAAACTTTCTTCGACAAGAATTTGAATTGGCTTAGAGTTTGCGGGCTTATACCCATCTTATTTATTCACAGCATGTGCTTGAAATACTTTTCGCACCTTCCGCAGTCAAGTCATTCCACCTCTGATTTCTGATACACTTGAGAATGCCATAACAACCATATTGTTTGATAATCATGTGTGCCTTAAAAAAGAACTCGCACTTTTGTGCGATAATTTACAACCCAAAGTGGAGCTCCTCAAGGAGAAAATTATCGTCATTAATTGAATGATTGTGACGACAAACAATTCCTGTTCATCAATATCGGGCTAATGAACGAGAGACATCAGATATATGTATATATGGTATGTGAGTATCTGGTGTGTGGTAATCAAAGTGCATGTCCCCCGGATATGATAACTCAATCTAATTGCCATTTCTATGTCTGCTTTATCAACACAATGCTTGATTAATTGTCTACCCATAGATTTGTGTTGTTCTGCGTTTTATTTCAAGTGCTGAGAAATCTATATTATATATATATATATATATGTAACAGGTGTACTATTGGAGTGAAGTAAAGTACACTGTTAGTTACACACGAGGAGCGTAATTTGATGTCGTAAACCCAGGTTAATTGGCTACCAGCTTAATTGCGATTTGTTGGGCAATTAATTGGACTGGTAGCGGGCTAATCGCCGGCTTGAGGTACATACCCGGTACAGACTTTCAAGATTAAAGCCTCCTAGCCAAGAGGAGAAAACAAATCGCAAGATATCGCAACTAACAAACGAACGAGAGTGAACTTTGCCGGGGCGTGGCGCCTCTTGTTGTAAAAGAAAGTTATCATTATCGGTTGAGGAAAATGAAAGTCGCTGGTGGCTAGTTGCTGGTTTGCTGCTTTAAAGGTGAGAAACCCCGTGGTGCGTAAATCGGAACACAAATTAACACCAAAAACTAGTTTATAATCTATGATTTTTTATAATCTTTTCTTTCTTTTCAATTTTGAGAACTCTTTTCGGTGCTGCCTGGTGGTCAATTAAAAGCGAATCACGATTGTAATTAAAACTCATGATAATAAATCTGCTTTTGCGGCGTGGCAAGTTTCCACGTCGTTAAGTTTCTTCTCTCGTGTGTGTAAGTGTGTTCTTTCACTTTGTTTTCTCTCTCCGGCAAGGCTTAATGTCTGAATAACCTAATTACCCACCGAATAACCTCTTACATTCCTCAACAAAAAATAAAAAAGGAACATAAAGTTGTAATCCATTAAACTCCAAATCGAATCCGAATCTAAAATTCTAATGGCTCTGGGTTGTGGCTTGATTTTCAATTCCATTCGAGATACGACAGTTGAATTCATTTATCATTTGGCTTTCAGATCTTGAAATACTTTTCAAGACTAATAATGAATAATCGACCGAAATAATGCATATGATTGCGGACCAAAATTGTATAATGGGCCAACGTCAAGTTAGCGTTTCTCGTTTCTAGTTTCAGTTTCGATTTCAGTACGAATATTTCTCTTAAGGTCAAAGCATTTTTCATGCAACACCTTGAGAATCAGACTGCCAACACCAAAAAGCCCCCGTACTACTACTACTAGTCTGGCATGGCTAGAAACCAGTTTTCTTTCGCTGGTGGTGCTTTTTATTCATAATATACTATGGGTGTAGCCCGAGCCAGCCCGAACCGTAGGTCGTTGCAGGTGAAGAAGTGAGTAGCGGGTGCCGTATAATTGGCCGGAAAGTAGCGTTGACGTTGGCCGCTCTCGGCAATTAAAGCCCAAGATTGGAGGGTGCCTCTCAGCAAAAGAACAAAAGGGCCCACACCATACCAGTTGGTTATATTCAAATGTTAATGGTCCTTCGAGCCAAGCTCTCGAACTCTCCAACACACACATGCAAACTCTACACTTCTTCTTGCCAACGGCAGTGGCACGCAATGTGGCATAAAGTCAAGAATAGCAAATAAGTAGCAATAATATTTGCTGGCAAAGCACAAAAGAAGGCAAAAAAGTCACTCGAGATACTCTTTCCTTTTTGGTGGAAAATCGAATATGTTAAGAAAATGGAAAAACCAGGTAAATGCAAACGAATATCCTGTTCCTGTTCGATTCTTTTATTTATTTTCTCCTGTTCTTTATGTAAACAAGCGAAAAATCACTCTCCAGACGTGTGTTATCGTCGCTTGTGAAGTGAAAAGTGGAATCGTTTCTCAAGAAACTTGCCCCGAGAGATGCTCAGATAACCGACAGTGGTTCTAATAAATACAATAATAATGGTCTTCAGACGGCATGGTTTCTGTTTGCATTGCGATAAGGTGGAAAATATACGGGTAGAAAACTGAGATACTGGCGAAGTATTTCCGATAATGATCCTCCATATGTTTGTACTTTATCAGATATCAGTGACGAAATTTAATGGTTTTTTTTTTTTATTTTGAAAAGGATATCGTTATGGTGTCAGCATCCATTTCACATTCATGTCCAGTGCATTGCCGGTCTCCGGTCTCTGTTCCGTTGACCCCGTTGGATAAATCTCGATTATGAATTTATTGAAGCATTCATACATAAAAACGGTGACAACAGCTTGCAACCAAAAACGTCGGTCCAACGACCACCAAACGTTCGAAAAATGTTAATAAAAATTGGGAATGACATGGAAAAAAATCCCAATCCCAGCCAGATGCTCCCCATCGACAACGACGACGAATATGAACAACCCTACAAGTCACACAGGCACTATCTTTTCGCAGTGTCATCGAAATCCAGAAACGAATTATTTGAATAAATAAAACAATACTCAAAAAAAAACACCGTGTGTTGGTATGGATAAGATAAAACCGTGAAATATCCTCATGTATTGTGTGTCGTGCCACTTAATGCACTGTCTTTTTTTGTTGTTGCTCCCAAATATGGTTATTCCATATTGCAACAATGAGTGCGAAACAGATTAAACCTTTAGTCGGCGTTTATAAATGTAGCCTTGTTTACTTTTTTTTTTTGTTGCTTTTGCGGATGGCAGACCAGCCGACCAACCGACCAACCGACCAACCGACCATCCAACTGGGCAGTCTGACAATTTAATTTATTTGCCTGCATTAGACAAATAACATGTGAGCTGGAAAGTAGCTGTGTAGCTGTAGGATATAGTAGATGGGCATTTAGTAGCTGGTTGGATAGTATAGGAATGGTAGTAGGTAGCTGAGGAGGAACAATGGCACGTCAAACTACAAGTTATGTAGTTCTACACATCCACCCATTGTGAGTCAAGTCTGATGGGGGTTTACTACTACTACAACTACTACTATGACTAACTGGAGAGTTTAGCTTTGCATGCACTCGAGGAAAAAAGTCCCAAAAATTTATGTCTGGGTTCAGGTTGAAAGGTATGCCAACAATTTTCTACTTAAACATATATGAGGATAAGTATACATTTTTGTACATCAGCTCTAGCTCTACTCTGCAGCTGGGCGCTTCGGCTATAATCTTATTTTAAAGCACTCTTGAAACTGACACTTTAAAAAAGTCAAAAACACAATCATCATCATGATGGGAAAGCAGCCGGCAGTTCGGGCTTCCCATACATATGCGTGGTGCTGCGAAGAAATCAATTTCGGTTGATAATCTTGGTGGGTTCATCATTGAATTTATTGCAGCGATGGTTAGACGGATAGATAGAATTGAATGGAATTTAGCAGCCGAGCTAGCTGTAGATTTATGTCATCGTATTCTTAGGGATTATTGGGGCAACTATTGATCAAATGGTGGGCCTTCCTCCAGCGAGACTGCGAGTTTATTTTATGTATCCACCCGCAAACTTAATTTGCGCTTTTATTAAGCCCTAGTGACTTCAATAAAAAAATCAAACAGAAAAGTTTTTAAAAGGCCGTATCAATGAGTGAATAATAAACATGCTTTCCGATTCGGATTTCGGCCAAATGGTGTTCACGGCTGACTCATGGGCTGGTGGTGGAAAAAAGTTTATAAATATAAAAGCGATTGCCAACTTTTGAAATGACTTCTCATTTTACGGCTCCTGGTGTACGTATCACAAAAAGGGTAAAAATTAATCCAAGCTGTGCGTGTCCAATTATATGAATATTTTATACACTTTATAATTGCAATAGAAAGGGCCGATAATAAAAAGGCAAATGTACTGTCAAATGGCCTATGAAATGGTCTGAGAATTCCCTGAATGCGAATTGGCGACAAATTCTCATAAATAATCATCGAACCAGCGGACCAAACCTAAATGTTTTTCTTGTATAATTTCAGGGACTATTATATGTCGGTCTGTGGTGTCTGTCCCTATGCGCCCTCTCATATATATGGTTGTATATATAGTGTTACACCATAATTCTTTCCTTTTTCCAAGTGCACGAGTGCGTGCAAGACAGATAAATCACATTAAAAATTAAACAAAACCCGTAGTCGAAAAGTTTTGTTGGCCCCCACCAGTGAATGGAGCGTAATTTAGTGGGCAGGAGGAGGAGGAGGATGAGGAGGATGAATGGATGGGTTGGGATGGACCCATGTATGTTCATATGGGCGTTGTGTGTGTAGAGACTAGGGGGCAGACTGACAATGAGTGAGTTACTTACGTTCAGCATCCAAATGATCATCTCCTCGAGGACAATGTCCATGCTGCTGTGGGCCCCACTGAGGGCATAGTCTATGGGGTTATCGCTGCTGCGTCCACGGGTCACTGTTGTTTGTGCTTTTGTTGTTGTTGCTGGTGTTGAAGCTGTAGCTGCCGTTGTGGTTGCCAGTGTAGTGCGGCGCCTCATGGGCGCTGGACTCGTACTGGAATTGGTATTGGGATTGGGATTGGACACAAATGTTGTATCTCCTGCTGCAGATGATGTTGTAGCTTCCGATGCAGATGTGTCTGTTGCAGTTGTAGCTGTAGTGGGCGTGGTAGTGTATGTGGATGTGGATGTGGAGGATAGTGTTGGTTTGCTGGCTTCGAATAGGCAGAATAGCTCCAGATCACGCTTGCAACAGCAGCGGCAAATGCGTGGCATCTCCATGGCGGGATCCTCTTCACTCCTCAGTGGCAGTGGCAGAGAAAGTACCTCACGCTCCGACTTGGCCACTAATTTTGTTGATTTTTGTTTTTGATTTTCGTTTCGGCAGCCGAAACTGCTACTTCTCCGTCGATTGGCACTCATTATTCTTGATTTTTTTTTTTATTTTCTTTACTCTTCGATTCTTTGATTCTTGATATAACCCTTTATCCGCCTGTCGTCGATATGCAGTGGATTTTTTTTTTGGCCTTATCTCGCGACAATTTTCACACTTCACCCACGAAATTGGCTATATATTTCTCAGTTTCTTTTCTTGGCGGCAGCGGCGACAGCGACGGCAACGACGTCGTCGCTTTCGTTTCGAGACCTAAAAAACCAGAACCAGAGGCCAGAAAAAGATATTGAGCAACAGATTTCTTAAAAAGAAGCCTTTTTTTTATAGTCTTTATGTGTGTGAGTGGCTGATTGTGGTGTGTGTGTGCGTGCGTGCGTTATGGTTAGTTTGTTTTCTTGTTGTTGTTGGTGTTATTGTTATTGTTATTGGTTTTGGATGATGGTGGTCTGTGTGAGCCAGTTTCTTTTTAGTAGGCCAACCAGAGTCCGATTCGGATTCAGAACGTGTTATATGTTTTGCTGCCGCGGGCAATGGGCCGGCCAGGGGGTGAAAATACAGCCGCCGCACATGCACCACCGCCATCAGCACCAGCACCAGCCCAAGCACCACCAGCTACATTTCAATTTCGATTTTGGGCAATAAATAATTCATTCACAGACCGGACCGGACCGAGTAACGAGCGAAACACCTGCCCCTTTTTTGTGGTCAGATAGATAGGTAGGGTATGATAGTATGATGGCGAAATTTCTAGCCTTTCAAGATAATAAGCCACTATAGAAAATACGGTAAAAATACGGTATTTGCGTTTGCTTTTAGCTTTCGGTTGGTTTGTTTTGATATATTTTCGTTGCAGAGTGAGAGACAGAGAGAAGAATCTAAGAATCTCTCGATCAAATTATTTTTGGCGGCGGCATTTGCCTACGCACTCACACATTAACACACCCCATCATCACCACACACTTGCAAATTAAAATACACACAAGAACAAACACAAATCACGGACCAACGGACACTTTCAAAGGGGAGGAGGGGTGGGGGCCAGTAGCCAGTACGCAGCAGAAGGCAGGAATTTAAATTGGTGAATTAAATGCAGATACGCACACAAATGGGAATTCCGTTACTTTTTCCAATTTACTTTTGATTGTGGTTGTGGCTAAAAACGCTATTTGCAGCCAGTACGAATGGCAGGCAAACTCTGCCAAGATTTCGCCGCTGAACTTAATTAGTTTTGTGTTGTAATTGTAATTGTGATTTTTGTTTTTCGGTCAATTGAATCCGACAGCTCGACAACTCGACAAACTCGGCAAAAACTCGAAAATCCGACTCTCGACAACACAAGAATTTTTCGAACTATTTCTCGGCGCTTTCTCCGCTGCCAACTTTTCCACGTCCGTCGCGTACGAGATTTGAAATTGGAAAAAAAATATATTGTCGCCTGTTGGGTATTTAAGCGGAGGGTTTTAACAGCACAGTGCCGGCAGCATTGCTTGCCGATACCACCCGAACGCTGCCGACGCTGCCGAACCCGTTGCGGTCGCTGTGAGAGGCACCTTGCTGCCAGTAAAGGCAGTGCGTGCACTGCAAACAACTTGTAATGAGGAAATGATTGCACTCGTGCCAATAATTGGCGAAATTGATTATTATTGAACCCATGCTGGGTATAATCGTCTCGGCATTATAATCTTGAGATTATTCGTCAAGGAAATAGCCTTGTCTCACCATCTTTCTAGTAGTTTTCTATGATTTTCTACCATCACGATTCTCACAGTGCACACCACTACACACATCCCTAGCTCTCCAGAGAGTAGGTGGCTGTTAGCAGCTCTGTTAACTTAACAGAGCAGCAAAATGTAAAAATAGATGCATTCCATCCACTATTTACCGGTTCGTACGAACAGTAAATAAAGAGAGTGAGAGAGAACCCAAACTAACAGAATGGGTGGCTGTGGGAGCCCCTGCACATGGCGCTATAATGGGTTAAAACCGAACTGTAAACGTCTTGTGCCGCCTTGTAATCTCTTGGTTGCAATATGGAAACTGTATTATTCTGTGGCATGACAACATGTTTGTTTAAAATTTGTAATTTGAATATTACATATGAAGAAAAAAAACAGAGTAATTATCCAATAAAGGTATTAATTTTACAAATAAAAAAATTATAATTATTTAATTAATTAAAATTATAATTACAAATCTAATATACAATTTCTAGCAGCTGTTACAACAACAGCGCATATCTGTAGGGTTCAAAAGTTGCGTATAACAGACAACCCAAGCAAAAAATGAACGGAATGCAGTGGAATACTGGAGTTTAAAGAATTTCCTGAAAAGGCTACAGGCATGTACTCTGGGTTGCTTTGATCTTTTTACCCTTTTTCGACTGACATTCTTTAGGTGAGCAGCAGTTTCTCAGGGTTCAAGCACAGAATTTAAGATGCATTGTGATTTAGCACCGCAGTCCCGAACCAAGGATGTGCGTCTGATAAGAATTTATTATGTCCAAGAACCGGTACTTGGATTCACCAACTAAGTACCACTAAAAATGTCAAGTACAGAGAAGTTGCTAGAAAGTGCTCCTCTGTCCGAAGGGGCTGGCAGTTCCGCTCTCCCCACTTACTGCCTGCAGGCCCATCATCGTCATCAGCTGTTCGGCGGGAGAGCACCACAACAACAGAGACTGAGCGAAAGAGTGAGAGCGTGCGAATGTGTGAAAATGTGCAAAAGAGATAGAGCATATAGTGGGGGCTATAAATTTCATTTGAATGCTTTTTTGCAAAAAATGCAACGAAATGCCAATTATGCAGGGGTAAAGGAAATACAGAAAAAAAGAATAAATCCTTGCAAAAACCACCATAATGACCGGATTGCGCAAAAAGCTCGGTAAGCAAATTAATTTGCATGGAGGAGTCTTAAACTGAAATCGTGCGTGCTTGTCGGCCGTTGTTGTCGTTGTTTTTGCATTGCGGGTACTCTTTGTTTTTGGGTGTTGTTTTCGCCTGTCTATCTGCTAAAAGGAACCCGAACTCCCCGTGCAAGGACCGACCAAAAGAGCAAACTTTTTACTGGACGCCTGAGGCCACATGTGATGTGATTTTAATGGGTCTATCAGTGGCGCGGCGCGGGGTATTATTTGTACTCACATTTTAAAAGGGGATTTGGCCAGTGAGTGCACTTCTTCAAAAATAACGCCGCCAGCATGGGCCGGCGGCTGCTGGTTTTCTCGGACCCAGCTCGATGGTTAAAAGTCGTTTTGATTTTCGCCCAGTCCGAAAGATATCTGTTTCAGCTAGTTTTTGCGACTCCAAATTATGGAAAACGTTCTTTCTATTCGACTGCAATTGTTAAAAAAGCACACCAAAAAAAGTGACGCTTGGTGGGAAAGAGAGAGATGTTGTGAGTATAGTTCTACTTGGCACCTGAGAACTTGAAGGAAACAGGAAGCCCGAGCATCTTACAGGCAGCGTTGCCACACATGCGCTAGGGTTGTCTCTATACGACAAAATTCTAAATATATCATTCAATATATCAGCGTTTTTATCGAAATATATAAAAATAAATATAAATAGTGTTTAAATATATTTAAAGAATTAATTATTTGTTTATTTTCCCCCAACAAAAAGTGGTGGTTCAAAAGTCAAACCCATCTGGCAGCTCTTGCTAAACACCGGCTCAGTAAGAAAAATGCGTAAGGAATTTAATACGATTTTTAACACAATTAATGCAGCTATTAACCTTTTCAGACACGTCCACAAAGCGTCGAGACGGCATCCTTTATCTGTGGACTTTCCAGAATGGTTATTTTGGCCACACTTCCTCCACTGAATTCAATTACATGAAGCTGAATAATTTGATGGGCGGATTCCTCTTCTGATGGCCTCTCATTCCTCATCGTGAACCTCAGCAGCGATTAACGTGCGTGTCCTAATTTCAGTCAATCCGAGATTATGCCTAATGGAGTTTGTTTTGGTTATTATAAGCATGTTGCCATTAGTATTGTCTTTTGAAGATTTTTAGACCTGAAAAGCATATCCTACAAGAGATGAACCTATTTTGCTCTACGCAGCTGGAAGCTGGCTAGGTTATTAAACCATTAACTTACCATTAATTTCAACAAAAATGTTTTGACACCTCATTAATACAAAGCAACGCCCCAAACAGTGAGTTTAACCCTTCCTTTCTAAAATATATGTGTTTTCTATAACCTTTCTCCCACTTTTTAGCGAAACTATGTCTGTGGTCTTGCCCTATTTGGGTCAGGAGAAGGTCATGGTGCACGGCAAATGGAGCTTAATTTGGACATACCGTCCATTCCATCAGTAGCAGGGCGGACAACAACAGACCGCTAAAGGGGACACATCGAAGGTATGAAGGAGGCATCAAAGGGCTACATGAACAATAACAAGGAAATTTTTTAGTAGACCGCAGATAAAATGTGTCATAATCAAAGCAATATTTGTACCAGACATTTGATAGTTCAAATTTTCTTGTAAGCCGCTCTTAAATTTGAAAATTTGAATGTTGGCGGCTTATCGCAACTATCTGGTAGCCCAGCAAAAAATAACCACCAAATTCTGGCAACGCTGGTCATCTGAGTATTTTTGTTAGACTGCGGTACGTTCACACTGGCCCGCCTTGCACATTCTAAACGTAAACAATCACTTTTTTTTATTGCAATTTTAAATTAAATTTAGACAATGTCGCTGCAAAAAGCTAAAGTAATTGACCAAAAGGAGTACTTGAAGAAATACCTCTCGGGCGACAAAGAGAAGAAGAAGAAAAAGAAAGACAAGAAGCATAAAAAGGCCGCCAAAGTAAAAATCATAGACGACGATGCCTACGAATCCAATGGCCAGGTAAGAAAAGTTTTTAAGCCTTTCGGGGACAGAGGATCTTTCTATAACATCTATGTATAACAGATGGATCTTTCTATAACAGGCCTTCTGTAACATCTTTATACTTTATTCGTTATATTCATTATTTCATTTTTGCAGGAAATGGATGAGGATCTTCTGTTTGGTGGCGAAGATGCACCTCAAATTGTGGCCGAGTACATTGAGGACGATCCAAGTGCTCGCAGCAAATGGCGCAACATCGCCGTAAAGGACGAAATCAAAGAGGAAAGCGGCGGATCCCCTCCAGCGGCAGCTATACGCATCAAACAAGAGCCCCTAGACGACGAACAGGATATGTGGGGCCGCAAGGCTGCTGATGTTAAAGTGAAAGATGAACACTCTCCCCCACGTAGACAAATAAAGCAGGAGAAGCGAAGCAAGTCCAGGGATTTGAGCCCCGAGAGGTCAAGAAAGAAGAAAAGCCATCAAGATCAAAGTCCTCCTAGGAGAAAACCTAACCGAGATCGTTCACCACGTGGTAGGAGTCCTCCAAACCGGAGTAGAAAAGACTCGGACCAATCGCCGCCTAGAAGAGCAAGGGATAGTCCCCCAAGAAGACGCCAAGATGCATCTCCCGTAAGAAAAAGAAGAAGTTCAGATCAAAGCCCGCCAAGAACACGAAGAGACGATGACCAGTCGCCGCCGAGAAGGAGAAGAAACGAATCAGATCAAAGCCCGCCTCGAAAACGAAGAGAACAGTCTCCTGTTCGGAGAAGAAGGGATTCCGATCAGAGTCCGCCAAGGAAACGAAGGGATGATGATCTCTCTCCACCCAGAAGGAAAAACGTGTCCACTAAAAGCCCACCTAGACGTAGCCAAGACGACGATCAATCTCCTCCCAGAAGAAGGAGAAAAGACTCAGATCAGAGCCCACCACGCAGAAGAAGAGATTCAGACCAGAGTCCGCCACGGCGCCGACGTTCCAGTAGCGGGGAACGGAAACCTCGTCGGGATCAGAGCTCGCCTCCTCGCAATCGGTTCAAAAAAGAAACGGAAAGGAAAAGCCGGTGGGCCAAGGAATCCCCCAAAAGGTCTCTTTCTCCGCCGCCCACCCACAAGCCAAAATCCACCAAGACGCTTGATGGCAAAAAGGCGGGTCTACAGGATGCCAAGTCTCTCAAGAAAGAATCTGATGAAAGGCGCCGCCAGGAACATGACTTATTTGATAAAATGTCCAGCGAGGTATCCGGTCGAGATGCAGAAGTTCAGATGCGCAGCACTGGTCGGAAAGGACGCAGGGCTCGCGATGCGGCCGACGAGGATCCTGCCGAGCAGCGCCGCAAGGAGGAGCACGAGAAGAAAAAGAAGGAACTGTACGATCGTTGGGGCAAGGGTCTCAAGCAGATCGAGGATCATAAGTCGCGCATGGAGGAGATGGCACACGAGGCGGCCAAACCGGTGGCACGTTACGCCAACGACGAGGATCTGGACCGGCATCTGAGGGAGCAGGAGCATGCGGACGATCCTATGCTGGAGTACATACGTTCCAAGAGGAAAAAAATCGATCAACAGTCGAATAAGCCGGTGATTCCAAAGTACGAGGGCAGCTACCCGGAGAACCGCTTTGGCATCCGACCAGGTTATCGATGGGATGGCGTGGATCGATCCAATGGCTACGAAAAGCGCTGGTTTGACAAGCAAAACGAAAAGCGGGCGGTGCAGGACGAGGCCTACAAGTACAGTGTGGAGGATATGTAGATTTTTATATCCCCTACCTTGTTTTAGATTTTTATATGCAATAAAAATGTTACTACTGCCCTGTAGCAATTATATTTGTCATAAATTGTAAAAGTTTTTCAGTTTTATTTATTGTCCACTACTATTTGAATTTCCCGCCATCTTACATCCCACAACCTGTTGGCCACTTGCAGCACTGTTTGCTGCGCGCGCCATGCAACCCTGTGTGTAGAATAGCCGAGCAAAAGCAAATGGTAAAATAGTCTTCATCTACACCTGCGAACTGTGCTAAGTCTCCTCGAAAAATATTAAAATCTCCCAAAAAACTTAAAAATTTGTGGAAAATCTACACTAACTAGCAAGTATATAGTGTTTGGAGTGTTTTGAGGGTTAAATTACTTTGGGTAAGTGGCATAAAATGGTAAATAGAACAATTCTAACATTTCTGCTTTGTAAGCGCAGAGCATTAGTATGTAAATATGTGTGTACATAATGAAATGGTGATTCTGCTTTGCTTTGTTTCTGTTTTTGTTACAGCGAACAAAGTGTATGTGTCGGTTTTTGTGGTCTTGAGTGAGTGTGAGTGTGCGTTTTGCCCCGCCCCCGCTAATTAGCATAAAACTCTCATAACCACAACAACTAAAGCAACAAAGCCCGAAACGTGTTGTAGCCTGAATTTCCTTTGGCTTTCCAGCTGCGCCTGCCCTTCGCCTTCACCATCAAATCCACAAAATCGTGGTCGGTCAGCCGATGAAAACCTGTTTGTTTGCTGCTGCCTCTGCTGCTTTTGTTGATTGTTGTGATTTTATTGTTGTTAGTTTGCAGTTGCTGGTGCTGCTGCTGCAATTTCTTGAAGCTCAAATTGGCGCGAAAACTTTTCCAGCTGCAAAAATGTGTCAGTCAGCCAATTGGCGCATGCACGCGCCTGTCGTCTTTTTACCATTTTTTTTCTGTGTTTCTCAATTTCCATTTCTCAGCTCCCACTGCTTTGGGGGGCGAGCGAAAGATGCAAATACTGCAAACAGCGTACTCTCTGACACACATACAGACTTTCGTACATGGTATTCATTCATGTCACTGCTATTTACTGCCTCTCTCTATCTCTCTCTCTTCTCCACGTTCCATTTATTTTGGTCTGCTTTTTCTTATTCCCATGAAGGTATTATATTATATTAATCAGAAATTATAAATAATTTTTAATATAATTCACCGATAACGCATTTATTATTCATTGATAAATTATGTTTTTAATAAAATTGTAAAAAGTGATAAAATACAAAACATTTCATTAAAAAACTATATAAAAATTCTTCATTCTTAATTCTGCGGTGATTATTCTTATTTTAATAGAACTAAAAGTGGAAGAAATGCTTTTTGTTTCTTCTTAAGCGTTATTGAAGTCGAAAAAACATGCTTTTTAAAAAGAAAATGTTATTTTTTTCAAAAAATATAGGAATTTGTATGGCAATATAGGAAAATGTTAAAAAATCAACAAAAAATACATTTGTTCTCCTTCTTTTTATTAAGCTAAAAAAATATTTAAAACATTTAAAAGCGAAGAAAAACATTTATTAAATTAAAAAAGCATGCTTTTCAAACAGAATATATTATATTTCTAAATAAATGTAGGACATTTTTGTTAAAATCTACAAAACAAAAAATGCAAAATCGGAGAACTGTTTTTTTTTTTCTTTTAAGAGATGTTTAAGTCAAAAAAGCATGCTTTTAAATAAGAAATTGTTATATTTCTCAATAAACATATGAATTTTTGATAGTGATCGTAATTTTATAGTTTTTTCAACAATTAAAACACAATGAGAAACACCGAGATCATTTTTTAGCGCATGGCCCCCAAAAATAAAAAAAAAACCCCAGCATCTCAAGGCAACGACACCCCAAAGACCTTCGCGATTCTAAAACATCCCCCAGGCAAGCTCAACCCTTGTCCTTGGCACTCACTTCCTTGTGCATTTCCTTGGCTTTTCGCGTTCCGCCAGCTTGTTCCTCCAGCTCGTTTGGGGTGCGGGGTGCTTCCAAGGACCCAGTGACATGACATTGTAATGGCTTAGAAGTTTACACGCATCCCATGCTGAGTGCGAGTGTTCCAGCACCCCTTACATGGCAGAGATTGATCTCCCCGCTGGTCTCCTTAAAGGAGATCTAGGGGTTGTTTTGGTGCAAAAGCACTGAAGGAAAATTGATTTTTAAAAAAAGGACAAGATTTTATAAATTAAGTAGAGTTTTAACAGAAATTAGCACCTATTCTTATTACTTTACTTTAATAAAATTTAAAATATTCTTAAGATATACTAAAAAAAGCTTTAAAAAGTTGAAAAAAATATATTTTAAAATTGTGATATCATAATAAAACTTTAAAGGATTTAATTTTTTTTCGTGTAAAGTCTGGCACATAAAATCCAGTCCTTTAAAGCGTTTTTTAATTCCTTTACATGCTCGTCGGGCCAACAAAAAAGGGAAAAGTTATTCAAATTCCCTTTGTTCGAGGAATGTTGAATGGATGGTTGGTTGGGTTACTTCATTGGGTTTCATTCGGTGGAATTCGCTCATGTACCACGTGTTTGAATTTCGGGATTTCAAATGAGTCACAGTACTCGGAACTCGGTTCCCGAAGGGTTGGTTGTTGCCAGGGAAGCTTCTTAGTGGAGGATCTCAGGCCGAAACTGGATTTCTCCAATCAGCTTTTAAGTGGGAAAGAAGTTCCATTCCATTCCGTCCATTTGATATTAATTCCTTAATTATTACCTCACCGACTGCAAGCTGGGAGGGACTACCCGCTAGGCTAACAAATAACCCCGGGAATACAATACAATTTTCATAATTTTGCCGGCCCATCTGGTTTTTCCTCCTTATCCACCTTAGAACAATGGAACAGTGTGGAAAAGCGCCCCGCTGCCCTAAACTAGTTTTCCGGCTTTCTTCGATCGGAAAACAGGAGGCGGAACGCCTTGTAACCAGTTTTGCTAATTTGTGCACACGTGCAAATCCTGGAGGACAAAGGATCCTCCATTCATTCAGTAGAACTCGTTACTTCCAAAACGCCGCCGGTCACTGACACAGGAAATTAAGGTTAATTCATCAAAAAAATAGTGTGATTTTTTCATGTTTTTTTCTTTGGATGTCTTGGAAGAAAAATCATTTTTCTTGGATCATTTGTTATTTTGGATAATTAGGTTCTTGTTATGACATTTCTGGGTTCAAAGTGCGAATGTCAAGATGACTTGGCTTAAAATTCTTCAATGAGAAGAGTGGATGGTTATAAATGGGGTTTTAAAAGGCCTTAAAGGGGTTTGTACTACTTGGTAAGGTGAAATGGAGTTTTAAGATATAGAAATACTCTCTATCAAAAATCCTTTCCGAACTAGAAACCTTGATCTTTAAAACTTCACATCTCTGATCCATAAATCAATATCCATTGTCTTTCTAAAATGGTTCTACTTGGTGAACTGCTTACAGAATAGTGTAAGATCAGACAATAGAAGGAAATGAGAACCCGGTGCCCTAGATAAGCATGAAAAGCATCCTTGAATCCAGTTTTGCTTTTCAAACAAAAGCACACAACCATAAGACTGGAAGGACATTAACTTTGGAGTATTGTAGAAGGGAAAGACAGCTTGAGGAGATCTGGGACAATAACAATAACTCGGGGACAGGACAATGATATGGTAGCAACTTAACTACCCTAGGAATGGGACTGGTACTGGGCCTTAGCCAACTTCCATTCAACTTTTATGTTTTTCCAATTTTTCACGATGGCTATAAAAACAGTTGCGACTCTTTACATTCATCGGGGTTTTGTTGTCTTAGGATCCTAGGTCCTAGCTCTCCCCTTTGGCCCACTATATCAATAGAAATGTAAATAGGAAATTTTAATAATAATTGAAATGAGTTTTTCCTTTCGGAGTCCTTAAAAAGGGTTGCAACGCATTCGAAAAGAACTGCATGCGGCAATCCACAGCTAAGTATGTAATTTTCTGCCAACCATATGCAGATTTTCCAGGGGGAGAGGTCCTGTAGAGTTCCAGGACCAACTGCCGCTGACATCGATGATTTATAAACGGTTTTTAATCGCCTGGCTGTCGTTGGAATTTCAATTTTCATTTAAATTTCTGTTTCTGTTTCGCCAAACAATTTCCATCGATGTATATAATTAAGCGTTAAAGAGCGTGGAAAATGGATAAAAGGGGAACGTCAAGAGGGTTCCCAGTCGGGGAAGGAAATTAAAAAGAAAGTCAGTTCTTAGGAAAACCCAAAAACTGTACTTGGATCCTATACATATATCATATTTTGGAAAAATCCAATTAAACCCAACTCTTTCAACTCGTGCGATTCGAAATTGAATTTTTAAAGAATGTTTCCTAATGGCTTTTCCATTAAATGGTTTTCCATGAAAATAATTTTGGGTGGAAAGCTCTGCCATCTCTCTGCCACCCTCGCAAAGAACTCATAAAAATTGCAAGTCTTACTGTACCGCAGCTATTTTTTTTTTGGGTTGCATTTTCCACGTTTTCCCCGGCATTTATAATTTAGGAGGCAGCTTAGGTCGCGCGGGGGGATTACTCGCTCGATGGTTCATTCATGGTTGGGAAAACTCCTTGCCGCCAGCGCTTTTCCACCCCGCGTCGTTTGCTGGCCAAACAACGAAAGTTAAATCGCCCAAGAAGAGAGTGCCATTTGGCGATACACACATCCTTCTTCGGCGAAGGATTTCAGGGTTACTTTTCCACCCCCCAGCGCGGTTATCTTCGCGTCTTGTATCTGGATTCAGGAGACTCTCCCGCATTCGGCTGGTTTTTGGTGGCTGGTGGTGGAGGGTTCAACCTGAGAATCTCCCCGAGGTTCGGATTCGACTCTGTTGGCATTCCGGCGAATAGCTCTGACACAGTTATCGAGTGCAATCCGGGCAGGTCGGTTGTGTGTTTTTTAGGTTCGAGGTTCGAGGTTCGTTCGTCCTTCGCGTCGCGTTTATTCCGGTTTGTTAGGTTCCCTGTTGTTTTCTGTTGTTATTGTTGGCTAATCCTTGGGATTCCGAGTTATTC